GTCTAGTATAATTATGTTTATATTCTGCATATATTCTTCAGAATAGTTATCACCTCATGTGTATATTACATATTCTGCACATAAACACTTTTGTATATTTATTCTTACCAAGAATATATTTGTTAATTAGTTTATTCGGAAATAAATTTAATTGGTATTTAATCGGATTAGATTAGCATAAGACCCTAATCACCCCCCCTCTAGGGTCTAACAAGATTTTTTACTGCACATTTGTCAATATTAAGAACTAAAATGTTATTGACATGAGAGTAAATTATGGCTACATAAAACATAGAACACCCAATTAAAACAACTGACAAAATATATTTGCATTTCATTGCACTTTTATTGTAAGTTTGCATTAATATATCATTTGATAATATCTTGCAAAGGTAATTGCAGAATAGACTTCCTTCTTCCTATTGCAATAGAATGTCAATCTCATATTTGAAATTACTATGTATGAACTAAATTGGAACTTATCTATGGATTGTATTGAACGTTTCTAGCAAGGCCAAAAATAGGGGAAAAAAGTATAGATTTTATAGGTTCCACATCTTCGAATTTCAGCTTATGAAAAGTATAGATTTTTTTTTGAGTGTAGATATTAGAAATTGGTGATAACCATTCATAATTTGGACATTTGTAGTTGAATGAATATTTAAGAGTGTAGATATTAGAAATTGGTGATAACCATTCATAATTTGGACATTTGTAGTTGAATGAATATTTAAAAAGTTGAAAATCTACATTTGATGCCCCAACACATCAATGCGTGCATCATAGTTTGATGTAAGCGTTAATTGAAGCAAAACATTTTCAAAAGCATCTTATAAGTTGGGTCTAATTGCAGTTTCAAATTGATATTGTAAATGTACAAAAATATAAAGATCAATGAACCTCCAAGGCCTAGTCAATTTTTTAATCTCCCCCTCCTCTTCTTTTGAGTTACAGCATTTTTGCTACAAACTATACAAAAACACAACCGTTCATCTGGAACTCCATCCAACAAAGTCAAGCGCCAAAATAAAACAAAAGATGCACAGAGTTTATAGGTTGCTTAATGAGAAGGTAAGCAACTTCAGCTATTTAATTACCCCTCTTAATTACAACTTATTTTTGACATGGGCAAGGTTCCTTAGCTCCCCAAATGCATGCATTGTCTCGGAATCAAATCCTCCAGCAAACTGCATTACAGAAGATGTTTTATGAAGAAACAACATGAATAATCGAGAATTTTTTTTAGCCGAGTTGGTATCTAACCCGATGAATTCTGAAAGCAAATCTCACTCCTTGAAGCAGCATATACCCTAGAGCCGAGTCCTTGTTTGATGCCCCCATCACTTGGAGTTCAGTTGCAACTCTCTTCATATGTCTCTTTGCTAACTTCACATAGGCTAGTTTTATGAAACAGATCCCCTACAGGATCGCTCTACAATATCTATTTTCAAAAGATACCCAGCATTTCAATTGATTTCTACTGGCTAATTCATCTAATAAACGCTGATTTACATAATAATACATAATAAAATTCCAACGAGAGCATACCTGAACAAATATCACATTTATCAGCTCACGGGCAAAGGCAGGTTCATCCACAAATCAAAGAAAAACTCCAGAAATCAATCTTGGGAACAAATATCGGTGTGTGGGAACAAATTATAGACTTCTTTTCTGTACCCAAGCACCAAAACAGTGGGGTTACTTTTGCAACATTAGTGATTTTTGACATAATAGATGATGAAATTTTTACTTGTGTATATCATTATAGATATTCGATAATATTGCACTGAAAAGATTTGTCTTCATAGAACTAAAAGAATAAACACAAGGGTTAATTGTGGATACACGATAGTGTTGTAGGATAGCCACTTATATCCTAATAAATTTTTTCTTGTGAACAGCAAATCAACTTGACTATAAGAAAACAATTTCAGACAGTGAATACTTATCACAACTATTAATAATGATATTTCTATTTAACTGAATTCTATAACTTTAAACCGTGTGAACTTATAGGAGCTACATTTGTTTATCTTTTCTTATTGTTTTTTTGAAAGCTCATTGGTTTACATCATAGAAACTTTTACAAACAGAGTAAGAAGTTCCCAAAATGAAAAAATTTTTGCTTGTTAGAGGGAATATTCTTGTGTTTTTCATCAAGCAAGTTATTGTCTTATTGATCACACAGAAACTAATATTTGTTATTTTTCATTTTCCTACATGGTCATAAACAAGTTGCTTACAGCAAGGAGATTTAAACATCTCACACAGAAGCAGTGTATTTCGTATATGCACAGCTTGGGGCATGATAAAACTTACCTTCTTCATATATCAATCACCTTGAAATCACAAATGAATACTGATGAATACATTTTTACAGAGGGACATAACATATGATGAAGCTACTCAACTTCCTACATATAATGTGGTATGCAGTAGATTTCTAATCTCGTAAATTATGTGAGTCATGTGAGATTCTCATTTATGCACATGTGTGGTATACATGGAGGAGAAATGAACTTGACAGAGAACTAAAAAAGCATCTGAACATACTACATTACACATAAATTATCTTAACATATGATGTTAGGAGCGATTAAAACAAAGAATAATAAAAATTAACTCATAAACAGAAAAAATATCCCCTAAAAGATTAAAATAACACCTTTCCTTCCTCAGCCAATTTAGCAACTAATTTTGATAACTCCTGCATCAAAAAGGACAAAAGATCAAATGATTGAAATATATTGCATAGACACTTTTGAAGATAGTTCCTTTAAGTTTCTCCTCATAGTTTTTATTTAGAAATAATGTACTATGGAAAGTAAGCAAAAATCAGTCAGCTGGCCATCACTTGTATATAGGAATCCAAGTGGGGCTTGATAACCAAATGGATCGTAGCAGGTTTTTCAGGTTGGATACCTAAAATATATCTGAATGTGAAGGTTATGGATCCTAGAAAATATCTGAAAGTGCGACTATACATCCTCAGAAAAACTTTTCATACCAAATATGTACAGTAATCATGAGAATAGCCAAAAACATCATGCTAGCCTCAGTATATTTTTGAGAATAGTGAAATAATGCAGCTATGACTTCAATAAACTGAGCATATAATTAATATGAGGGGCCAACTGACAAGAAACAATGCTGGTGATAGCAGATTAGATATCACATGATACAGATTGAAGTTGGTATGTTGAAAACCTATGTTTAGGAAGATAAAGTTCAGAATTTGCGTTCAGAAATGAAATTCATTTTGGTGGCAGAAATTATACGGAAGCTCTGCAGATGAAATTCAACGCTTGTCATTTACTAAAGTGTATACAAACCAGTAAGACAACACGTTGAAAGTTAGTTTCACACCCAACTCTTAGTGAACAAGGGATCATATAACCTTAATACATTGTATAAATGCAAACAGAATGTATTATAACTTACCTGCCCAGAGTATCAAACCTCCTGCATCCTTAGTCCTTTGACGCTCATAAGTTTGGCCAGGATTATGGTCTCGTGAAAGAGCTGCAGCTGTATTTTTTCTCAATCGATCGAGTAAGAGTCTGAGTTCTAGAGGAAATGTACACTTCTCAATCATTTAAAGCATATATGAATCCTTAAATCATTTGAACACTTGAAAGATAAATAGATACCAATACCCAAAATGATCAAATATAGGAGGACTTACCCTTTCCTCCCTTACACATAATGACTCTCGAGTCCCCAATATTTGCTACTAACAATTTATCACAAAAAAGGATTGCATTTGAGGATGTTGACCCAGCATCTTAGTTATGAGTTGTCTCAGATGCAAAACTTGTTTTATTTGAACATTTGTACAAATTTTACACAAATTGTAATGCAAAATCTAAAGGTTTAAAAGTTCTGCAATAAGAAAACAAAAACATATACCAACATTTTTCTGAGGACAAAATTTCTTACCATCAAACACTCCAAATAAGCCAACTGTTCTAAGGACATACATACATGAACAACACACATACATATATACAAATGTGACATAAGGAAACAGTTTGGTTTGTATAATATGCATAAAAAATAACAAAGCATGAATTATATATCTAAGCAAAAGATAAATAAAATTAGCTAAATAAGATTAGTAAATTCTGAAATGATATTTAACATGCAATTTTATCTTTTTAAAAAACAAAAAGAAAGAAAGGGAGTTTACTTACATTTGTAGGCGAAAACATCAAATCATGAACTGGTCCTCCATGATCGCTAAGAATATCTAATAGACGGCCAGTCTTCATTGACATAAAAAAATTTGAAACCCAAAATGACATGAAGTATGTTCTATAAAAATACAAAGAATTGCAATTTTAACGATCATCTTTCATAATAAATCTCAAATGTTTCTCACCTGGATTGATCTGCTCTCCCTTAAAAAGGTTCACATCTTTCTACTCATACTCCAGCCCTTCAAAATACAAACACAAATTCAATAAAACCTCCAGGACCCATTTTAGCAAAATAGAAATTACAAAGAATTAAAGCATCCAATAATTAAAAACTACAAACAAAAACGATCATCTTTCCTTTTGAAACCTGCATATTTATTAAATTTATCATGGTGACTTGTTCCTAAAGTAATTAAAAAATAAGCATTCAGTAAAGAAAAATAAACTTTTATAAAACATTAACTTTATTCAATAGAGATAAAACCTACTATGAAAACATTAAATTTATTTAAGCGGAGTAGGTTTATTGCACCACTTTAGTCTTTTGCTAAAAGAGGAAATGTACAAACATACATACATGAACAACACACATACATATATACAAATGTGACATAAGGAAACAGTTTGGTTTGTATAATATGCATAAAAAATAACAAAGCATGAATTATATATCTAAGCAAAAGATAAATAAAATTAGCTAAATAAGATTAGTAAATTCTGAAATGATATTTAACATGCAATTTTATCTTTTTAAAAAACAAAAAGAAAGAAAGGGAGTTTACTTACATTTGTAGGCGAAAACATCAAATCATGAACTGGTCCTCCATGATCGCTAAGAATATCTAATAGACGGCCAGTCTTCATTGACATAAAAAAATTTGAAACCCAAAATGACATGAAGTATGTTCTATAAAAATACAAAGAATTGCAATTTTAACGATCATCTTTCATAATAAATCTCAAATGTTTCTCACCTGGATTGATCTGCTCTCCCTTAAAAAGGTTCACATCTTTCCACTCATACTCCAGCCCTTCAAAATACAAACACAAATTCAATAAAACCTCCAGAACCCATTTTAGCAAAATAGAAATGACAAAGAATTAAAGCATCCAACAATTAAAAACTACAAACAAAAACGATCATCTTTCCTTTTGAAAACCTACTATGAAAACATTAAATTTATTTAAGCGGAGTAGGTTTATTGCACCACTTCAGTCTTTTGCTAAAAGAGGAAATGTACAAACATACATACATGAACAACACACATACATATATACAAATGTGACATAAGGAAACAGTTGGTTTGTATAATATGCATAAAAAATAACAAAGCATGAATTATATATCTAAGCAAAAGATAAATAAAATTAGCTAAATAAGATTAGTAAATTCTGAAATGATATTTAACATGCAATTTTATCTTTTTAAAAAACAAAAAGAAAGAAAGGGAGTTTACTTACATTTGTAGGCGAAAACATCAAATCATGAACTGGTCCTCCATGATCACTAAGAATATCTAATAGACGGCCAGTCTCCATTGACATAAAAAAATTTGAAACCCAAAATGACATGAAATTGTCAAGACAAAACAAAAGAAAAACTTATGAGCATAACTAAAACACACAGATTAATATATCAAATACCTCAAAAGAATCCAGTGACCTACCACAAATTATTTCACCACTTTTTTCTGAAGCCAATGCAAAAAAATGCCTGGGTGTAGGGAGTATTAAATGTTCTAAATTTCCGGTAACGAAAAAAATCCCACGCTCAAACGGTTCCATCCAGTGATGCACTTAGAAGACAATGGTTATTAGCCATGAAGTGGACTGCATTGACATCATTAGTATGCTCAGAGAATGTTAAAAAACAAAAACCTTATGAAACTATGCAGACTTGTCATACATAAAAATAAAGGTTTGATTATGAGTATCAGTGTAGCCAACCTTATGAAACTATGCAGACTTGTCATACATAAAAATAAAGGTTTGATTATGAGTATCAGTGTAGCCCAAGAAAAACATCATTCGATAAGAATTCTTTTGATAGAAATTGTTCTCTTACAATTATATAACATAATTGTTTTCATATGAGAATTAAGATGTCAGCTTCAGCAATATGAAATTATGCAGCTATTTTTATTAAAAAAACTAAGAATTTTTGACAATTTTGAATTGCATTTACAATTCACAAATGCATTTACTAAAAGTAAGTAACTTAAAAAATATAAATAGATACTACATTAAAGACACATTATTTGAAAATGAAACACATACCTGCAACTTTCCAGTTAGAAAAAAATTATTCAAGGAATCGTACAATCCAAAATAAAGCCTACGGTAGACAATACTTCCAACGCATTAAATGTTAAATCCGCGGTAGAGCCTAGTAATTCCATCAGACTTTAATGTCTTCTTGTACACATCAAGAAGATCATTAAACTACTTTCCGTCGATTAATGCAAATTATCATGGTAAGTCACTATAGTAAGGGCAGTTAATACTTGTGAGTTTCCCCTAGAAGATGTTATGAAGGAAGCAATTCCTATTGAACTTCTTAATGACTGTTTTACCAATAACTTGCTTTCTTGTCTTGTCTGGTCTCTTTGGCTATAACCTTTTGTTCTGGTTTTGCTTTTGTCATTTGTAATGCCTAAACATGCACCTTTTTCTCCTCACTTTATTGAACTTGGTACTTCTTTGTGCTATAAGTATTGTTTGATGGATTGCTAAGCGAACTTGGTACTTCTTTGTGCTATAAGTATTGTTTGATGGATTGCTAAGCAGCTTAAATAACTGTAAACTGCATCTGATGACAATTCTTGCTATAAGTATTGTTTGATGGATTGCTAAGCAGCTTAAATAACTGTAAACTGCATCTGATGACAATTCTTAAGTAATTTTATATCAGCTATTAGTATGGTTCCAATATGTTGGATACATCTATAATAGATGATGTTGTGATGACGAACATGCAAACAAGTTGTGGTGTGATTTCAACTTAAAAATAGCATATGATGTTTTTTTGCTTGTGATAACTAAACATATAGCCAGTTCTCAGTTTCGAAAGTGATGGTCAGATCCAGTGTGAAGGTGATTTTGTTGTGAAATGGTGATCTAAGGATATGTCCCTATTTTTCATATGCTGGGTTTTCTTTGCTCTGCATCTTACTGTGTGCATAGGTGTATGCTCTGTGTTTATACACTATGTAACTTTCTAGTTATTATTCTTATAAATAACAGTAAGATGCATGATCAAATAAGAGCAAAACATCGTAATATACGTCGCATAACATCACAATTTTAATTTTAATATAGCAAAGGAATCGGTTGCTGCTCGGGATGGTCGTAGGAGGAATAAAAGATGAAGGAGCATCAAAAGGAACTAAAGGTGAGAAGGCGCCAAAGGTGGAGACGGCAACAATGACACTACCAGTGCGACACTCAAGGAACATGTTTTAACAACATACAGAATTGCACATGTAAACTTAATTGCGAATTGCAAAACAGGTTTTCACAACATACATAATTACTCAAGGAACATGTTTTCTCAAGTATTGGTTACAGAACATATTCATATCTTCAATCTATTGGTTACACAATTGATATTAGATTGATCAAAACATAATTGATTTAGCAATTAATTCATAATTTCCAGTAAGGGAACTCCTTTGCACGTATCAACTAAATAAATAAAATCTATGGACCCTAGAGTTTTCCCTGCGCTCAATGACCTAGCTTACAAACATGCATTCAATCACAGCCATAGCAGACCTAATTTATCCTACAGCTAAGTTCCAATATACAGACAAAATAGCTTCCATTTTTAGGGTGCTATCAACAATTTCATCGGAGGAAAAAAAGTAAAAAAAAGGTAAAATTGAGGAAAGGTATACCTGGCCTCTGGTGAGATTAGTGGTGACCTTAACCGGATTCAATCAACAAATCGCGTGTTTTTGCGTGGGGAAAGAAGACGAACGCTTCTTCTGAACCAAATCAGAATCATATTAAAAAAATAAAAAAAATCACAAGCGAAATAACAACCTGAATCATAAAAACTTGGGATCAGATATACCAATTATTTAATTCTAGTAAAAGCATCTTCCTAATTTATCTAACCACAAATAACATCTTTCAAAATTACAGCTACCCAAGTTCTCAATCAAGCTAGTTTATTGCTCTCCCGAATCCCAAATTAAAGTAGTTAATTTCCCAAATCGAACAAAAAAAAACCCTATAAATTCAATTCAAAGATTGATCAAAGGTTGAGAAATAAGAACTTGCCTGACCTCAGCGGACGGCGAGGGCCTGTTCGCCGCCGAGCATTGAACAGTTCGAGAAGAAAAGGCGGTGCCTTTCTTTGATTTTGGGGAGGAATGTGGTATTTTGTGAGTACAGATAGAATTATTAGGGTTAGGAAATGAGGAGAGAAGGAAGGAGATTTGAGGAGGAGATAATGCAGCCATGGGTGTTGAGTGAGTGGAAGTTCGTGGGACGGCGAAAAGAGAAACAGATGAAATCTTCGGCTTCAGCGGAGAGTAAGACGCTTAGGTAACCGATGAACTCTTCGGCTTCGGTGGAGAGGAAGACGTTACGGAAGTGGAGAATAAGGCTGAGGGTATATTTAAAATAGTTGAAGGTTAATTTGGGAAGGGGAAAGTTTTTTAGGAACTGGCTCTTTTAAAGGGTATATATATATAGACTAGGTTTTATGTACGTACAATGCACGTGATTAAATATACTGACTAAATATATTTGGTTTATTTCTTTACTAAAACTTGTTACTCGGTTCTACTTGATAGTTTTTGCTTACTTATATCTCTAAACTTTAACATTGTAATTTATTTTTTTAATGTTTGTTTAAATAAACTACATTCAATTTTAATTTTCATATTGATAATTGAATTAACAAGAAATAAATGTACTCCGAAATCAATTTGAATTATCATGTCACTGGCACCGACATAAAACCAAGCTTGACCTGAGAAAGTATAGCATTGCAAAAGTAAAAAACACTTCAAAAAATAGCGTTCTAAAAGAAAAATAATTAATTAAAGCTTATAAGACAAGATGATTGGTTACAAGTGGGCTAAAATGACACAAATGTTAATTTATAGTTTGTTCCTAATCCTTAATAGACTTTAAAAAAATTATATACTAAAGATTAATACTAAATTTAGTATACTTTTATATAATGAAAGCATCCACATAAGCATATAAAAGTACTAAAAAGTTAATGAAAATCTATTCTAAAGATTCCTAATTTACTTAAAAATAACTATTCTATAAATTATTCAGAAAATAGTGCATTTCTCTGTTTTATTTTTTTATTGAGACGTTATCAATCTTTTTTCATCTTTATCTTTTTCGATAAAATCAGACTACTTTTAGATGCCGGAAAAGGATAGTAAAACCTTAAATTAAAAGTTAAATTTACATATCTTAATGACAGAATATCAAACGACTACTTTTTTCTAAGTTTTGAAAATTTAGTCGTTTTTTCGTGATTTTGAATTTTTAAGGGTGTGTTTTGCAAACTTTAAAACTTTGAGTGTTTTTTAAAAATTAAATTTTAAGTTAGGTGCTTGTAATTTTCATGTTTCATGTGGTGGTAGTAAGTTTTTGAATATCTGAATATTTCTAGCAACTCTGAATTTTGAGGGTATTTTTATAATTATTAAAATTTTAAATTGTTTGTTGCAAAATTTAAATTTTTAGCGGTCTGCTGATAATTTTGAGATTTGATATGTATTGGTTATAAGTTTTTAAATTTTAGGATTTTCTATCTTTTTTAATTTTTGAAAGAGTTTTTTTATAATTTTTATAACTTTAAGTTTATTTTTTTTACAAATTTTAATTTTTTAATGTACGATGGTAATTCCTTGAATTCATCTTTGTTGTTCACAAGTTTTGAATTTTTTAGAATTTCAGAGTGCTTTTTTATTATTTGAACTTTTAAGCGTGTTTTTATAGTTTTTAAAATATTGAGGGTTTCATGTTTGTTATTTTAAGTTTTGAAATGTTTAGACGTTTTATGTAATTTTAAATTTTTAAGGATAGTTTTGTGCAATTTTTAAAACTTTTTGGGTTTTTTTTTAATACTTTATATATTATAGCATATTAATATTTAAATTATTAACCTCCAAGTTGTTCACATGAGATTAGGATAAGATATAATTATGATTATAACAAATTAAAATCTAAATAAAATATTAAAAATAGTCAAGGGTAATATTGACCATATAATATAATATGATTATAACAGATTAAAATTTAAATGAAAGATTAAAAATAGTCAAGGATAATATTGACCATGTAAAGATTTTTCTGAACTCGTACTTTTAAAGGGAGTATGATTTTCTCTTATTTATTTCCATTGGAAAATTTTGGGAAAGCTCAATTTTAAGCAACTTCTATTTATTATAGCCAAACAATCCCAATAACAGTTTCTATTGAGGAGATTCATTACAAGAAATGCTATACTGATGTGGCATAATTATGTACCAAAATTGCAAGTGCTGATCAAGTTATAGTATAAAAAGTTATCGATCCCACGAGGAAGGTGATTTTAAGAGATTATTAGAATTGGTTCTTATGTTTTGTGCATGACAAAATAGGATTAAAGAATAAGTGTGAGAGTTATGATGAGTGAGAGTGATTGTTGTGAATATATGCAAGTAACAATAAATTGAATTTTAGAGGAGAGAAGAAAGAATCAAAGAATAAAATAAAAGCAAGAACGAGAAGAAAGAATCAAAGAATAAAATAAAAGCAAGAATAAAAAGAGAAAAATCAAGAAAACAAAAGATGAAGGATTCAATTAAACATATGAGAAATCTAGAATTGAATCCACTACCTAATCTCAATTATAAGATACAAACTATTCTCTTTTTATCATATATCAATTTAGATTTATTAAGTATAGACTATCAAACCATTTAAGGAAAGTATAACCTATCAAATTATCATCTAAGTCAAAATAAAAATCATGATAAGAACAACAACAAGATAGTAATCCTAGAATTCATAAGTATAACCTATCAACCATTTAAGATAAGCATAGATTATCAAATTCTTCTTCTATCAATTAGTTCTCTAGTTGATTATCCTATACATGAAGAAAAAGAACTAATTACAAAAATAAAAAGAAAAGAAAAATCTAAACTATGAACAAGAATTAAATCTAACTACAAAGAATTAAAATCTAAACAACAAAATAAATTACAAAAATTAAATGCATAAAAATAAATCTACTCTAAAAATTAAAGTGCAAAAAGAAATAAAAAGACAAGAAAATAAATCTACACTACAAGCATGAATGTAAATCTAACTAATAAGCAATAATAAAGAAATTATTAAAAATAAATAAAAGAGGAAAATAAAAGAAATTCAAACCTTCAAATTGCTCTTCATCTCCATCTTCATCATTCAACAAAGAGGAGAAAAGAAAAATTTAAAGTGGAGAAAAAATTATTATTATTAATTATAACAAAAGTTACAAATTTGGAAGCCTTCTCAATTAAGAGTAGCCCTCCTCTCCAAATGGAGTTATAAAATTTTTCACCCTCTAACCCATCACTCTCTACCCCTATTTATAGTAAACATCAATGAATGTGAGCCATTGGATCAATACTTATCCAAAACAAGCAAATTTCAGCCCTAGAACGTGCTACAGTCCCG